TTTTTCAAACCCAGACCATCATGCCTGGCTCAGAAATGCTCTCCTATTTCTGAATCCTGGGTCTTCAGCACTGCTCAGAGGCAAGACTGGTACATTTCAAAATTGCGTAAAAACATGTTTTAAAAGTGATGGTGGGGATAGAGAGGTAAGTCAGATTTCAGAGGGTGTCTGACCTGTAGCAATGCAACAAGCACGTGATGGGATCCCCTTGCAGCACAGCAGCTGGCTGCTGCTGGAAGAGGCACAGACAGGATGGCTGCACTTACAGTGTTAAGCAACCTGATCCCACAAACTTCCTGCAAGCAGAACTGCTGAATAATGGAGCAGCTGCACCCCAAGAACTTAAAGACCTGGATGCAGAGTTGATGATGACAGCCTGAAGTTGAATATCTGACTGCCTGCTCAGGTAGAAAAGCAAGCAGGCAAGCAAGCAAGGGAAAGCCCGAGGAGCGAGACTACATGACTTACCTCATTCAGTGCACTGTGATTTCAGGTGTCACCCGAGTCAATACTTGGTGGAATGCAGCAATGTACTGGTCTGGTAAAACAGAGCCAAAACTCCTTAAAAGAAAGAAAAAGGGGAAGCATTGTTTTCCTTTTCCAAATTCATTATCACACAACAAAGAGGGGCTCAGCACAACAGAGAAGGAAGTTAATGAGCTGCCACTAGTTTCACAGCACTAACACTTATGGAGTGGGCACCTTCTTTCCTCTACATCCTTACCTTGGTGATAGTGGGGTGAAACTGCTTTTGTATCTTGATCGCTGAATTGTACTAGCTGTAATCAAGGTCATGACATTTCTCCCAGCACCACTAGTATCGATTCTTCATTCTGTTTTGTTTTGAAAATGTTAACTTCACACACTGGTTCCATATTAATATAGTGAAAAATAGAGGGATGCCAGGCAAAGATGTTTGTAGCATGCAGTACTGCTTCTTTAAGAGCCAGCTGTGCAGTGCAGAGAATACGCAGTGTGAACTAGTCTAGAATGAGGTGGACTACAAATGAATTATTAAGCTTTTCTAGGAGGCGGATGGGTCATTTTCACCTAGGCTGCAGTGCCTGTCATCACATACAGAGAAAGGATAAATAGGCTTGGACCAACTTGATGAAAATTGATAGTGACTTACACATGTTTATTCAAAACCAGTCATATCTAGATTAAGGCAGCCTTAGACAGCAATTTCCAGAATAATCCTACATAACACTTTCCAGGCCTTCTGGATGATACCAGTGATACTAATCATTAGTATGTGTTGATTGGAAAAAGGCTTAAATGTGCTGATTCAGAGATTCCATGTTTATTTGCTGAGGAACTAGAGGAGAAACATTTTCAAGTTTATCTTTTCATATTCACTTGGACCTGTACCCTATGAAAGTCAGAGTTGCTCTTGTGGAAATTCCCTGCTGTAGAAAGTCATCCTGTGAATTTTAGCTGGCTGTTTTACTCTGATTAGATATGTCTTTGCATGACGATATGATTTCATCTCTAGGCAAAATCTTCAAATACACCCATTAGGACTTTCTGAATAATAATTATAATATATATATATATTCGTTTCAGCTCACAGTCTGGAAGTTAGAGCATTTTATGCAGGCAATCTGCTTTGATCTTCTCACAGACAACTGTGAGAACAGTTCCCCTAAGAACAGTAAAGAAAACATCTCAGCATCAGGATATGTTTCTAAGTAGTGTTTCAGATGGACATTAAGCAGTCAGGAAGAATTCAGACTCTCTAATCCTAGGGATATGGATTATAAATCTCTTTCAGCTCCTAAACGTGCAGCATTTGCTGTCCTGGATCCAAACTTCTTGTCAAACTCTATGATGCCACGATATGGACAGCATGTTTGAAGCACATATGACAATAGATAATCATTTTTAAAGTTAAATTACTATCTTTACTTGCCATAGCAGCACCACCTCTGAATCTCCACTCTACATCTTTGCACAGAGAAAGGAAAGGGTGTAATTCACCCTTTAGAAATTTCAGTGTTGGAAGGGACATCAAGAGTTCATCTTCTTCATACCCTTTCAAAGAACAAGGATCAGTTATACCTAACTCACCACACCTAAGCCTAAACTGTCCTTAAAGATCTTCACTAATTGGAATTTAACTTGCATCTTGTTATCTTGCTTTAATGTGTTCATAAATCTTGTGACCAGATTTTTCTCCCTTATGAATAATTTAAATCTTATTTGTTGCAAAGAATGCTGATTTCTTCTGGGCCTTCCTGTCTTGGATTTAGTGGATAACTGACTAGCTCTTTTTTGTAACAAACTTTTACAACCTGGGGAGTCATTCAGGCAAACCACTTCTTCCTTCCTTTCCTTTTTATTAAATGAAATCAGGCTAGTTCCTCCTTTGCCACATTTGTTAGAAACTGATCAATCCTGCTGCTTTCCTTTGGATTATCTCCAGTTGGTATACATCTGTCTTTAAGTGCAATGCCCCACATCAGATACAGTACTTCCACTGAGCTTTCTCCAGCGGCAAGTAGAGCAGAATAATTTCATTCCTCTGTCTTACATCCAACAGTGCTCTTAGAAACATCCCAGAATGGGACTTGATCTTTTGCAGCAGCCTTGAATGCATTTGTGGCTCATTGTAAACTGCAGATTTTTTTTCTGTCCAGTTACTACCTGGCCCATTTTAAATCCTCATTCCCAAGTTCTGAGGCTTCATGTGTCCTTTGCAAATCTCTGGTTTGCTGCTTTTAGAATGAAGATGCTTACCCGGCTTTGAAATCCTGTGTAGTTTTTCAGATGCTTCACCTCAAGTAATACAGGTGCACTCCCTGCTTTGTTGGTCACATCACCAGTGACAGTACTGAACAGAACATGGTCAAAAGCAGATATCCCTGCTTGAAGTGCCCTCCCAAATTCACCACAAACCATTATTAACTACAGTTTATCTGAGACTTTTCATTGCGCTCAAGTACTAAAAGGAAAAGGAGCTCCTTTGACAGCAGTAAAAATAATTATAATTTCAGTTTTAGTATGACTCAGGCAGACTCACTACAGATGGAAGGAAAATTCACCCAGGCAGTTGTATCTCAGGTTGCCCTAATACAAGTGTTATTCTGAATAAATCTGCTGCTTCACTTTCACAGAAGGAATACATTAGTTTTAGCCTGGATAAACCACATTGTTTTTAAAAGACAAATGCTCTAAGAAATGAAAGCGTTGGAAAAAACAATGGATGAATTTGGTGTGTCGGTGATCTTGAAGAGCTGGACCTGGAACTGCACTGAGCGGCAGTCAGTTTATAATGGAGATATATGTAATGATATGTAATACAACTCATTCAAGAGAGAAAGAGAGCAGCTTTCCTATTCCTTGAGAAGCAATTTCTAGGGCTTCTGTGAGGCTTAAATCCCCAGTTCAAAGCACAATGAAATTCATTATTTTTTTTTCCAATTAAAATGTTGGTCACTGTTGGCCACCTCAAAAGGTTCCTTGGTTCAGCAAGGGCAGTCCTTCCCAATCCCGGTTTCTCCCAGACAGCCCTCTAAAGAGGTACAAACTGTGAAGCTGGGAACACCCTATCAGTGGTATTGCTGCATCTCATTCTAATGTGTCTTTTGATTTACCATGGAGGAGGCTCTGGATATGTCCATGCAGCTGTAAGAGAGGGTATGCTTCTCCCTTTTGAATCATATTGTGAATGAAAGCTGTACAGTGACCCTGGCTCATCAGTCACAGGTTTGGTCCACTTCAGTGAGTCTGGGACTACCTTGACTCCCACAGTATATTATAAAAGCACTCAGAGAGTCCCAGACAACAGAAACTGCTGCCCAGGTTTTTAAATGTCCACTCCTTAATCAATTCCAGGTTTTGGGTGTTCATTTTCAGGGAGCTGCTAATGCCCTCGGTTACCATTTGGTCCAACTGGCATCAAAGCTTTCTAGTACATTACAAAATCAGGATAAAAGTACTTATTTAATCTGAGTACATAAAATCAGTGACCACTTCTGGTCCTGATACAAGTATAGAGTTGTATTATTATGGATCATTATGCCTCCAGTTAAAGGCAAAGGGAGCAATTTATCAATGCAAAACAGGCACCTCTTTAATGGCACTTAAAAGAGCTGGAGTACTATCCTCTAGAACAGAGGTAAGACCAATATCCACATTGTATTAGACAAAGAAGCAGGGTAAGCTGTGAGCATAGGTTTTCTTACTTTAAAGAGATCCAGTAACCACATCAATACAAAATATTTAATAGGTACTCTGGGTTGAACAATGTTCTCTAATATCAGGTACTGACAAAAACAGCCCAGAGGGAAAATTTATCTTCTTTTACATTTATATTATGAAAGCCGAATCTTATTTCTCAATATCTTAATATTGCCTTCTTAAACATGATGTTCCCAGCTTTTTCAAATATCTGCATTGAAAAAAGAACCTCTCATCGAGAATAAAATACAGCAAGAGGTAGCTCAAGGGACACTCAGAGCTCTCCATGGCAAAGCAGAGGAGAATGAAACCAGTTTGGTACCTTGGCGTTGGCAGATCTGGAGTTCCCTTCATCATAAGCACTGTTTCACTTCACCTCAATGAGTCATGCTGGTGAATTATTAGGTTAATTATTAGATTATTCTAATACACATCAAAGGCTTTTGAAGGCTCCTGAGTCTTCACAGTTTAATATGTTCATTTATCAGGTGCAAGCAGGAGAAATTGAAAGTAATGAAAGGAATTTTTTTTTAAGAGTTTTCAAATTATCTATTATTTTCCAGTCCTACTCGTTGGACCACCTCTGTGATAATGCAGAAGCTGCAAAGTAGTGCTAAAAGGGACATCTGGGTTCCAAGAGTTTTCATGATTTGAAATCATGAATTGGTTGGCATTTGAGTTTTTTGCTTATAATGCTACAGCATCAAAAGTTACCTGGAAATTCTTCAGGGCAGAGCAAGCACTGAGGTCAATGGGTTTCTTTCCAGATAGCTTTAGAAGTAATATTTCTTTATTTCCAACAGGTCACCTACTTTCACCATTATTTAGATAAAAAAGTTTTTGGCTTTCTGTTCCAACACCTTTTCAAAGGTGCAGACCTCTGCTTTGAACTTCAAGATACATTGCTAACCACCAGCTACTGACAGTATGACAGGGGCAGAATTCAGGAGTACAAAGAAATTACTTGCAGCAATAGGAACTGAAAATTGTTCTGCTCTTTTATTACCGCAAGTCAGTGTGGGATTTTCCATCCTTTTTCTTCCAAGAAGAATATGCAGCTAAAAGAATGAATAAGATCAAAATTACCTTTACAGGAATGCAAAACACAGGTGTACACAACTGGTCCAAAATATAGCAGATAGCTTACCTGATCAGTGGGCAAGACCTGAATGAGAGGAAATACCCATAGTCCTGGGAGAGTAACACAAGACTGCAAAGCAGCAGGATGTAAAAGAACATCTAAGGGAAACACAGAAGCTGATTTCACTTTAGAGCCTATATTTTCACAGAAAAATTGGGTCCAGTTGGATTTTTCCTGAAATAACAGAGCACAAGTAGAGAACCACAGTGGTCCAACTGAGGAGCACAAGCCTCTGAAAAAAAATGAGCAATTGCAATGGATTGTTGAATCCGGCTGCAGTCTATGTAAGACCACTGAATTCTTCTGGTTTTTTTGAAGGAGCAGTGTTAAATAAAAGAAAATATTTCTTGGGGAAATGCAATATAACTACATTTCTTGTTGTTTGGTAAGAGCAAAATCAGTTCTGCAGTGTTTGTATTTTGTGCTATTCTTTAAAATGACAGCAGAAGGTTTTATTGCTATTTATTGCTAGTTACAGAGGAGGGAGTTAGTTCATTCACTAAACCTAGCAGAGAAACCATATGGTCTAATTCTTTGTAAGAAATTTCAGTTTAATACTTACTGCATCAGGGCAACTATATTGACATAACAATAGACTGCTTTGAGGGAACTGTTTTAAGCTGTTGCACCAGGAGTCTGTGAACTGAAGTCTCTCCTCAGCAACAAGTGGGCATAAATGGAAACTTTTATGGGCAGTGAGAGGGTTGTGAGGAGAAACTACTGACTTGTTCAACAAAGAAATATGAAAACTGACTGGAGCACTGAAGGTGGAGGGAAGGGTAACAACTCAGCATTTCTGGACACTGAATAATTACATGATTTCATCATAGAATCATAGAATGGTTAGGGTTGGAAAGGACCTTAAGATCATCAAGTTCCAACCCCCCTGCCATGGGCAGGGACACCTCACACTAAACCATCTCACCCAAGGCTTCGTCCAATCTGGTCTTGAACACTGACAGGGATGAAGCATTCACAACCTCCCCGGGCAACCCATTCCAGTGCCTCACCACCCTAACAGTAAAGAACTTCCTCCTTATATCCAATCTAAACTTCCCCTGTTTAAGTTTGAACCCGTTACCCCTTGTCCTATCACTACAGTCCCTAATGAAGAGTCTCTCCCCAGCATCCCTACAGGCCCCCTTCAGATATTGGAAGGCTGCTATGAGGTCTCCATGCAGCCTTCTCTTCTCCAGGCTGAACAGCCCCAACTTTCTCAGCCTGTATTCATAAGGGAGGTGCTCCAGTCCCCTGATAATCTTCGTGATCCTCCTCTGGACTTGTTCCAACAGTTCCATGTCCTTTTTATGTTGAGGACACCAGAACTGTACACAATACTCCAAGTGAGGTCTCATGAGAGCAGAGTAGAGGAGCAGGATCACCTCCTTCGACCTGCTGGCCACACTCCTTTTGATGCAGCCCAGGATACGGTTGGCTTTCTGGGCTGCGAACGCACACTGCCAGATCATGTTCATTTTCTCATCAACCAGCACCCCCAAGTCCTTTTCCGCAGGGCTGCTCTGAATCTCTTCTCTTCCCAGCCTGTAGCTGTCTGGGATTGATCCAACCCAGGTGTAGGACCCTGCACTTGGCATGTTTAAACTTCATGAGGTTGGCATCAGCCCACCTCACAAGCGTGTCAAGGTCCCTCTGGATGGCATTCCTTCCCTCCAGCGTATCAACCGAACCACACAGATTCGTGTCATCGGCAAACTTGCTGAGGGCGCACTCAATCCCACTGTCCATGTCAGTAATGAAGATGTTGAACAAGACCGGTCCCAACACCGATCCCTGAGGGACACCACTCGTTACTGGTCTCCAACTGGGAGGGGGGTGTCCCAGCTCAGCTTAGCAACTTTATTTGCCAGCTCCTTCAAGACCCACGGATGGATTTCATCAGGACCCATGGACTTGTGCATGTTCAGATTTTCAAGATGGTCTCAAACGAGTTCCTCTCCTACAGTGGGCCCAAGGTCTTCATTCTCATAGTCCCAGCATCTACCTTCCAAGACTTGGGTGGTGCTGTCAGAGCTTCTGCCAGTGAAGACTGAGGTAAAGAAGTCATTCAGAACCTCAGTCTTCTCCAAAACCTGTGTAGCTAGTTCACCCGAGAGCTTCCCGAGGCGGCTTACATAGTCCCTGGTCTGTTTTTTATTTGCTACATACCTGTAGAATCCCTTCCTGTTATCCTTAACATCCGTAGCCAAGTTTAATTCTAACTAGGCCTTGGGTTTCCTAACCTGGTCCCTAGCTTCCCAGGCAACATCCCTGTACTCTTCCCAGGCCACCTGTCCTTGCTTCCACTCTCTATAAAGCTCTTTTTTCATTTGAATTTTCCTCACCAGCTCCTCACCCATCCAAGGATGTCTCCTGGTCCTCCTGCTGCACTTCCTTCTAGTTGGGATGCAACACTCCTGATCTTGTAGCAGGAGATCCTTGAAGACCAACCAAGAGTCTTGGGCCCCCCTGCCCTCTAGGCCTATAGCCCATGGAACCTTACTAAGCAGGTTCCTGAAGAGGCCAAAGTCTGCTCTCTTGAAGTCCAGGGCAGTGAGCTTGCTGCACGCTCTTCTCACTGTCCTGAGGATCTCAAATTCGACCATCTCGTGATCGCTGCATCCAAGGCTGCCCTGGAGCATCACATTTCCAACGAGCCCTTCCCTGTTGGTGAGCACAAGGTCAAGTATGGCACCTCTCCTTGTCGGCTCCTCTATTACTTGCAGAAGGAAGTTGTCTTCCACACAATCGAGGAACCTCCTGGATTGCTTGTGCCGGGCCGTACCGTCATTCCAACAGATGTCAGGGTGGTTGAAGTCACCCATGAGAACGAGGGCCTGTGAGCGTGAGGCTTTTCCTATCTGCCTATGGAGTGCTTCATCCGCAGATTCCTCTTGATCAGGTGGTCTATAACATATCCCCACAGTAATGTCTCCCATCGCTGTTTTCCCTTTAACCCTGACCCACAAACTCTCTGTCAGCTGATCACCTGTCCACAGACAGAGTTCCATACTCTCCAACCTATCCCTAACTTAAAGGGTAACTCCCCCTCCCTGCCTGCCGGGCCTGTTTTATCTAAAGAGTCTGTAACCTTCCATTCCAACACTCCAGTCATAGGAGCCATCCCACCATGTTTCTGTGATGCCTATTATATTATATCCCTGTAGATATGCACACATCTCTAATTCCTCTTGTTTGTTGCCCATGCAACAGGCATTTGTATAGAGGCATCTGAGCCGAGCTCCAAATGAAGCAGGCTCATTGCCTGGAGCAGCTGGAATATCTCTACATTGCTCCGAGCATTTATTGTAGGTGCTGGCAACTGACTGGGTGTGTTGGGATGGAATGATGCTCCCCTCCCCCAACACATCTAGTTTAAAGCCTCCTTGACCAGTCTGGCAAGCCTCCTACCAAAACTGCTGAGACCAGCTCCACCAGCCCCCAGTAGACCTGGCCTACAAACTTGGGTCCCATGTTCAAGACACCCAAACCCCTGACTGTGACACCACCCTTCTAACCATTTATTAACCTGACTAATCCTCCTAGCTTCTTTTTAGGTCCTCCCCTGTATCCTGGAGAATGGACAAAAAGACTATTTGAGCTCCAGAGCCCCTAACCACCTCTCCCAGGGTTCTGTAGTCCTTCTTTATGTTCCCCAGGCTACTATTATCTATATCCCTAGAACCCACATGTATCACAAGAAGTGGGAATAGTCAGTGGGACTTACTAGAGTAGGCAGCCTCCCTGCAACATCCCTGATCCGTGCCCCTGGTAGGCAACACACCTCCCTTGAGACCGGGTCAGGCCAACAGACGAGTGCTTCTGTCCCTTTCAAAGTAAAATCCCCTACTACTATGACCCCTGCTTTTTCCTGGCAGCACCAGTAGAATTCTTCTTTACCAGTGCATCAGCTGGCTGGTTCTGGTGTGAGTGCATTTCCTCATTAGCCTCCAGCAGGACAGCAAAGCGGTTCTGCATGGGGACAACAGGTTCAGGAGGATGTCCCTTGCTTTTAATTGTCCTTTTCCTCCTTTTTTTTTTTTTTTTTAGTCACCAATTCCAAGCTTTGAGAGCTAACAACCTCCTTCTTTCCTCCATGAGCTACAGGGGAAGCTTGAGCCTCCCCTCTCATCGGCTGTCTGGGTGCCTACGGTGGCCACCGCCGGGGCAGCCAGAGCAGAGCTCCCAGACCGGGCCCTGGCGATAAGGCGAGTGCTCACCATCCCGCTCACCATCCCGCTCACCATCCCGCTCACCATCCCGCTCACCATCCCGCTCACCATCCCGCTCACCATCCCGCTCACCTGCCCGCTCACCTGCCCGCTCACCTGCCCGCGCGAACTGCCTCGACCCGCCCTGTCTGCCTGTTCGCTGCTCTCCCTGGGGCAGGTTTTTAACCAATCAGGGCTAGTGCGGTTCCTCCTGGCTCCGCCCCCTGTGAGTCAGCTGCTCGCGTCAGTTGAGCTGCCGGCTCCGGGGCAGGTCCTGTCGAGGGCTTGAGGCTCCCTCGGTGGCTCTTGTCGCTCTGAGTTGAGGTTCCTGGACGCTGATCTCCCCCCGGCTCCAGTGTTGAAGGCGTCCTCTCTCGAGCTACTCATTTCAGCAACTGACCATCCAAAATTGTACATCCAAAATCAGTACTCTTTATTGAACATCCTGGACTTAAAATGTAAGTGAAATTACTCAGACACAATATAGGCCAGAGTTATATATTATTTACTGCGTTACTGATTGGCCTGCATGCATCAGATCCATCTTATATTTCTTTATTCTGATAATAGATCTGATATGGAAAATTTTGCTTTCTTCCCTCAGGCATTCTCAAATGATACTCTATTTTCTGTGAAAGTCTGTTTTTTCTACGACTCCATCACTGTTGGCTCTGTAGGAAAGCTTTTTCCACCTGATGTCTTCACTAATTATCCCTAAGTACTTGAGGCTTATCAAGTACAAATATGATTTCCCTACTTGGAGCAAACACTCTGGATGTCAACTGTATTTCCTGTTAGTTCTGTGGTATGAACAGGTTAAGAAGAAATAATTCTTTGGAAAATGAAATCCAATTTCACTCTAACTTTTTTGGAGAAATTTCATTTTTCTT